AAAAAAAAAAAATACTAACGACTCTTAAAACATTTTAAAACATTCTTCTCCATTTCCTCCTTAAAAAAAAAAATAAATAAATAATAATAAATTAAAAAACGAAAATTTTCATTGAAAATTATTTTAAATCAATACTATAAATAAATTATTTTATTTACATATTGTAACGTAATGTAATAACATATTATGTATATAAATAATAAATAAATAATATATATATATATACGGTATTTTTATATATTTTATATACTATATATTATTATATATACATATATATACCGTATATTTATATGACTTATATATTATATATATGACTTATCAGTTATATAATATTTTTACCAAATGACTGCATATTCTATTTTTAACTCAAAAAACTTGATGTTACGTTAATATGTAGTGACGTCAATCAAACGACCCCCCCTTTCCCAAATTTCCATTATCGGAGACAATTGAAATAATGAAAAAAATTTTATTGTGTAACAATCATGTGATGCAATAAAAATAAATTTTAAGGACAATAACCACATTATTTATGTTTAGGGATTAACAAATCATTTTCTATAGGTAGTTTGGTTTCTGATGACGAAAAAGGGGTTCTGTTTTAATATAAATCGGTTTTATCGCAAAAAAAAAATTTAACCAATCTTTCTATTTCGATTTTTTTTATCATCGATTTTTTTTTTTTTTTTCTCACTTTTTCAATACTTAATATTTCATTTTTTAACAGCCGTGCACCGCTGAACGGTATACAGCTATTTAACTTTAATATTTGTAACGACGAATCTTGTCATGTTATAGTCGCCCAAAAAAAATGAACCGAACAAATAATAAAAATTACGCCCAAGCTGCAGCGCAGCAAAAAAATAATAAACAAGCTTCTCACACTAATAATCCATCCCATCAAAATCAACAACACCACCACCAACAGGTGTCTCAACAAAATCAAGCTTCAGGTCCTCCTACATCCTCAAATTATTCTTCATCCGCTAACGGAAAGTCTATTAATAACTCACAAACGAAGCCACAGACACCGCATAATTCAACTATGGGAAATGGTAATACTGGTCGTTCTGCTTCGATCAAACAACAGAAGAACAGCGTAACACTACCAACGAATGGTCACTCTTGGGAAACTGCACGTAAGTATACTTATGAATTAATAATAATATAGCTTTTCATTATACATAAAATTATTATTTGTTTTATTAAAAAATATACCTATATATATTTTTTATATTTTTAAATAGTTGCCAACTAATACTACTACTACACCTACTACACAAGCTACACAGGCAACACAAGCTACACCTACTACTGTTGGAACTTCTGGTCCGGGAGTTAATAATATAAATAATAACAATAATAACAATAATAGTAATGGCACTTCTAAATCAATATCTGCGCGTGCGAACGAGATACCTCGTACACATTCTGCTCCACCATTATTTCAAGATTCAAATAATAGAAATGTAGGGCAATCAGGTCATACATCCATTGTAGTACCTGCCCGTACTCAACCTAATAATATACATCAACAGCAGTCTGCGGCCGTTCCTCCTCATCAACAATCTTCAGCATCGGTTAATAATAATAATCCCCCATTAAATCATCGTAAAGATTCGGTATCTTCTACCGTATCATCAAATGATGGCCAACCACAATTTCATCCTCATCATTCGCCACATCATCCTCCCAATCATACGAATCAACATGGTCATCCGGCGTTTCGACACCCACAACATCATAATACTCATAAACCCATACAACAAATGTATCGGCCGAGGGATAAACAACATCCATCCCCACATTTAAATCCTGCACAACAACCTGTCCCAACACAACAAAGTGCAATGCCCATTGGACCACCACCACATATGTTTCAAATGTATCCTAACCACCGAGGGGTAGTAGGTTTTCTTATTTAATAAGATATTATTTTATTAATTTTTATTAGTTTCGTCATTATTTTAATTTTATTATTGATAATATTAATATTTCACTTATATTTTTTTAGTATTACATGGACTATACTACAGGTTATCCTGTTGCTCCTCATAATATGTATTCGATACCACCATTTGTACCACAACGCCCACCACCAATGTCACAGCCTATTCCTCCAGTTAATAATGTTTCTTTTCAAAAGCAACCAACAAGTAAAGCTATCCAGATAATTGATCCAAATAGAAACGCTCCTATTCAGATCAATACTAATAATATACAACGACAACAGCAAAATTACAAAAGAGAGGAAACACCTTCCACTGTTCCTGATAAAAAAACCAAAGAATCTGATAAAGAAGTCAGACCTAGTTCCGATGATAAAGGTGTTTCAAAAGCTGTCCCAATTGTTGATCCTGCAGAAAAAATTAAAGAACGTGAAGAGCGTGAAAAGAAAGAACGAGAAGAACAAGAACGTATCGCAAAGGAAAAGGAAGAACGAGAACGCAAAGAACGTGAAGAACGTCTAGAACTGGAACGAATTGCAAAAGAAAAAGAAGAACAAGAACGTAAAGAACGGGAGGAACGGGAAGAGCAGGAACGTCTTGCAAAAGAAAAAGAAGAACGTGAACGTAAAGAACGGGAGGAACGGGAAGAGCAGGAACGAATTGCAAAAGAAAAGGAAGAACTGGAACGCAAAGAACGTGAAGAGCGTGAAAAGAAAGAACGAGAAGAACTAGAACGTCTTGCAATAGAAAAGGAAGAACGAGAACGCAAAGAACGCGAACGTCTAGAACTGGAACGAATTGCAAAAGAAAAAGAAGAACGAGAACGTAAAGAACGGGAGGAACGGGAAGAGCAGGAACGTCTTGTAAAAGAAAAAGAAGAGCGTGAACGTAAAGAACGTGAAGAACGGGAAGAGCTGGAACGAATTGCAAAAGAAAAGGAGGAACAGGAACGTAAAGAACGTGAAGAACGTGAGCGTCTAGAGCTGGAACGAATTGCAAAAGAAAAGGAAGAACGGGAGCGCAAAGAAAAAGAAGAAAGAGAGGAGAGAGAGCGTTTAGAGGCGGTGGAGCGTATTGAAAAAGAACGTAAAGAAGCAGAAGAAAAGGCTCTTAAAGAGCAAGAAGAAAAAGCTCTTCTTAAAGAAGCAGATATTGAGAAAAAGGAAGAGGAAGAACCTAAATCAAAAGCAACACCTGAAGAAGAAGCTGAAAAAAAGAAAAAAGCTGAAGCATTGGATAAAAAAGATGATAAGAAAGAAGAAAAGAAACGGCCAGGTCCATTAGATTTATCACGTACTACATCTGCACCTGCAATTCCCAGTGCACCACTTAGTGCACTTGGTAGTGCACGTATGCTTGATGACTTAAGCTCTATACAATACCCACAGGGTATTAAATCACCTAATCCAGAATTGAATTCTAACGCTGAGCCAGGAAAATTTAAATACGATCGTACTTTTCTCATGCAATTTATGACCGTTTGTAAAGAAAAGCCAGAAAATTTACCTGCGTTAGAAGCTATTGGTATGGAAGAATCTAAAGATGACAAGAAGAGAACAAATACACGTTCTAATAGCGGTCCAAGAACATCATCATTGCATAAGGGTAGTCCAAATCAATCTCAATTCTCTCAAATGGGTGAATTTAAATTCACTCCTTTGAAGACAAGTGAAGAAAGATTTGCCGCTTCGATGAGAAATGGAATGCCTGCTTCAGGTATTTTTGGACGAACCGCACTTGGTCGTACTGGAAGTGGAAGCACATTATTACCACCAACTGCAGCAATGACACCTCCAAGTCCAGGTCGTACACCTAGTGGACGTAATAGAGACAATAGAAGAACCGGCAAAGGTTCACATCAAATGCAAGGATCAAATATGGGACAAGAACATGTTGCACCACTTGAACGTACAGAAAACCGATGGGTTCCTCAAATTTTAAATAGTAGTACTCCTTTACCTAAATCAGAAGAATCCATACCTTTTGAATCAGTACAACGTAAAGTTAAAGCGCTTTTAAATAAATTGACGTTGGAAAAGTTTGATTCTATATCAGATCAAATCATTGATTTTGCAAACAAATCGAGGGATGAAAGAGATGGACGTATATTAAGAGAAGTAATTCGTCTTATATTTGAGAAATCTTGTGATGAATCAAATTTCTGTGCGATGTATGCTCAGCTTTGTCGTAAGATGATGGAAAGAGTCGACCCTGAAATAGTTGATGAAAATGTCAAAAACACTGAGGGTAAATTTGTTCAAGGCGGTACATTATTTAGAAAATATCTTCTTAATCGTTGTCAAGAAGAATTCGAGAAAGGTTGGAAGGTTAATGTCCCAGTGCCTTCCAATGAAAAGGGGGAACCAGATTTGATGTCAGATGAATATTATGTAGCTGCAAGGGCTAAAAGACAAGGCCTTGGTCTAATACGTTTCATTGGCGAACTATTTAAATTAAATATGCTTACAGAACGTATTATGCATGAATGTATAAAGAAATTATTAATATTTCAAGGCTCACCTGAAGAAGAAGAAATGGAAAGTTTATGTAAATTAATGAATACAGTAGGAGAACAACTTGATCATGTCAAACCAAATCCACATGAACAAATGAAATCGACCCAACTTGATCATGCAAAAGCAAAAAAATATATGGAATCTTATTTTGATCGTATGGAGGAGATATCGAAGCTTCCAAATTTGTCAAGTCGCATAAAATTTATGTTAATGGTAAATATTTTTGTTCTTGTATAATATTTATTCTTATTATTTTGCTAATATCTATTATGTATTTTTTTTCTCTTTTTCAGGATGTTATGGATTTACGAAGTAACGCTTGGAAACCACGACGAGATATTAATGCTCCAAAGACGATCGCAGAAATTCACGAAGATGTAATGAAAATAGTATAGAGAATATACGTATATTTAGTACATATATTAAATAAATATTCTTTTTTTTTTCAATTTTAGGCCGCAAAACAAAAAGAAGAGGCTGAGTATCTGAGACGAACGACTAGTTCAGGTGGTAGAGGTAAGTTCATTTAAAATTAGGGTAGCTTTTTACTTAAACTGTTATTAATTAATCATAATCAAATTTAGGTATGCCTAAGATGTCAGAGCAAATGTCGCGCAGTGGTTCAAGTCGTCAACATCGATCAGACAAAGGAATGACACAATCACCAGATGGATGGAGTACCGTTGGAAGTTCATCACAAAGAAATAAAGAAAAAGTTGGTGACCTTACTAAATTTGGATCAGTAAATCGTAGTAAAATCGTCAGTTTAGCACCGGGAGGCATATTAGGAGGCTTATCAGGAGGGGCTAAAGGTTGGTCCAAGGGTAATGAAAATAAAGATCCAAATGATAAACCTGGCCTTAATAGGGCGAATTCAACAACGAATATATATAGCGTATTAAATTCAGAGAGCTCAGAGGGAAGGAAAAGCTCCGAATCAAATTCATCAGACACTCAAAAACCCTCTCCACCAACAGAGCGTAAAAAATTAATTTTAGCTCCACGTACAAAGAGTTTCACATCTGAAGAGCCTGTAAAATTGGTATCTAAATCTACTTCCGGGTCGGCATCATCATCACAAACAACAGTAGAGTTAGATTCAAAGAAGATCTGTAAAAGTATTGTTAATATGATGGAAGAATACTTTTCAATATTGGATAGTCAAGTATGTGCAATTAATATAGGTGTATTTTTGTAAGCCCCCCTCTATATTGTAACTAAACATTAATCTGGTTATATGATTTTTCAGGAGGTCATCACTTGCCTTAAAGAGGATACTCCAGTAGAATACCATCCAAAGGCAATAGAAACATTCGCAAACAAAGTGATCGAGAAAAAGCAGAAAGATGTGGACGATGTTATGAAATTGTTCAAAGAAATTGTATCCTCCAGTACTTGTGATAATGATGCTTTTAAAGATGGTTTTAAAGCTACTTTAGAATTTTTGATGGAAATTGGTGCAGATGCTCCAATGGCTTATTCTTATACAGGACAATTGTTATTTAGTACTGAACTTTTTTTTCGGGATATTATAGAACTTCTTAAACCTTTGGATGATGATATGGCAATTGATAAAATTGTGAAAGGATATGCGAAGGCATTAAAAAATGATGTGGTATGTTAATATTATTTTCGTACATTAAAATTTTTTTAACTAGTTTTTTTGTTTTAATATATTTTTGTATAAAATAGGATGAACAAAAATATGTACAAAAAATAAACGAATTTGATCTTACATCGCTATTCCCAAAGAAAAATAAAGATGATATAAACAAATATATCGAAGATCTTGTGAGATAAAAATTTTATTTTCTAAGTTGCATTATTGATTTTTTTTATCATATTTTTTACTGATTTTACATTCTTTTTCAAACTCAGGGGGGGTCTTCAAAAAAATAAATAAATCGGGAATTTTTTTAATCGTAAATGAACATTTTTTTATTTTTTATTTTGTCTTTTTCCTTAGAATTTTTTTAATTTTAACGTTAGTTTTTTCAACCAATATTAAAAAAAAATTCATACAATGTGTACATTTTTCAACAATTCAAAAAAAAATAACCATCCATTAATTTTTTAAAAAATTTATTTAATGAATTTAAGAGGATGTACTCTAATATTTTCCTCTTTTGTACATTTTTTCTTCTCTTTTATACATACCATTTTCTTCATTAAAAAAAAAATACCATCATAAGTAATGAATTCTTAAAATTCTATATTTTTGAAGAATCATTAAACAAAACTTAAAAAAATTCCCTTATTTAATAGTTATATAATAATCTTTTAAATAATGTTTAATGTGTAATTAAGTTTATAGAATCCAATTTTACATATTTTACATGTAACAAATAAAGATGTTTACGTGTTGTTATGTTGTTAGCATATTATGTCACAAACATTGTTTTACATGACTTTGTAAAGGAGTTAACAAATTTTGTATCTCAATTTTATATGAAAAATATAACAAGCATATATAAAAAAAAATAAATTGACAAAATAAATGAACCTAAATAACAACAGGTTTGAATAGTATTCGTATAAATAAATATCAATTTAAATTTAAACAACTACTATGTGATTTTTTATTTCAAATATGAAATCTAGTACTTGTCTTGTAAAACAAAATTACCAATTTATTTCTTTAAATGCCATTCAAAAGTTTTATAAATTAGAGTTAGACTTACCTATAATTACTTTATACTGTATATAATCACATCCCATATATTATTACTAAATAATAATATCTTAAAATTATAAAACTGGAAAGTATGAAAAAATTATTTGTGAACAAAAAAAAATACTTACATGTTTAGCTTTTTATTGAAGTATTTAAAACTTTTTATAATTACAATTATATTACTAATTACTATAACCAGTATATGGGAAATTTTTAGGTTCAAATTAATATAAAATAAACTCTATAATCTCCTGTCATGCTATAGTATGTCACTTATGATCACCTTTATACTAATTTTTAAAAATTGCGAGTGATTAGCTGAGTTTATAAATGACTGGGAATTTTCGTTTAATTATTTCCAGACCTCATATAGATAGCTGAAAAATTACTAATTTTAGTTTAAAATAGTTAAGTTTAAAATAGTTAAGTTTAAAATAGTTAATATTTAATAATGAGTAACACACTTTAAGAGATTATCCATTTATTTCATAAAAAGGAAAACATAGGGTTTTTCCCTTTAGGAAAAAAACCTTATTATTTCCAACTTCCCATGAAATAAATAATACTAATTACTATATTATATCCTTTAAACTGTAAGCAATTGCAGGCAAATTTTCCCGCAATTTTACCAAATTTCAGCTTTCATAAAATTTCAGCTTTCATCTGATTTTATGAAAAATAAAGCAATTTTAATAAAATTTTTTTACAAAATAGTTTAAATTATATATCATGTAGCAATTATTATTATTTATTAATTGGCTATTTCTATTTGTACACTATATGTATGAACATAGGTTATATGATTATTATCATTTTCTGCAAGGTAGAATCATGTGACTTTTGAAATTTTTTTTTTTTTTAAATAAAACTCTTTATTATATAGTATATAAAACTTTCCAAATAAATGTATATTAAGTGCATTTTGACCTGTTCTGCAAGGTTATTTAGATCACAAAATGAAGTTTAAAATACTGTTTTCGATTTATTCAACTTTTTCAATTTTATTAAAATTAATCTATTTTTTTTTAGGTATAATCAGCAGAATTCATTTGCTCATATGTAAAATCAAAAATATTGTTTAAAATCCAATTTTTCTCTCTAAATAAACTTGCAGAGCAGGTTGAAATACACTTATTTAATAATTTTCAAGTTCATTTTAATTTTAGTTTATAAAAAATTTACCAAATTATAGTAATTTAAATTACGTGATTCTACCCGCTTTAACAGTATAATCATCATATACCAAGCATGAATAAATCAAATAAAAATTGTAGGTAGAATAAAAACTTAAGTAGAGCAATTAAGAAATATTAGATCATATGACGTCAGTGTTGTAACTGGGACTGGAACATATCCTTAAATGGGACAGAACAGGACAGTCTAGAACTTGAACAAGATGTTGTTGATGTTCAGGACAAAAATTCATTATAAGAGGATATATAATTTATATAGGACCCCGGATATCTAATATAAAGGTCATAATGGACTTTTGGCCAAAAACACCCCTTTTTGCTAAAACTCAAAAAATCGTTTTTTGTAAATATCTCAGCATCCAGTAATTCAATTTTAATGAACTTTTTTTATTTTGTAGCCCTCATTTAGCTCTACAATTTAAAAAAAAGTTCATCAAAATTGGACCACTGGATGCCGAGATATTTACAAAAAATGATTTTTTGAGCTCTGAAAAATGGGCCAATCTGCCGAAAGTGTGACTTATGACCTGTTTTGGAGATATCCGGGGTCCTATTTATATATAATATTAATAATGAAATTGGACAATATTTTGGACAGGATAAAAAGGAATAAATGAAATTGGACTTAGACAGGACATCAAAATTTTGTGAAATACTGTTCCACCACATCACTACATGACGTCACATAACAAAAGAAGTAAAGATAAAATCACATAATGAAATCATGTGACTAAAGATCACGTAATTAATAAAATGAAGTATATATATAGATCTTATCAAATCGACAAGATCGTGGACTTAGAATTATTTTTGAGAAAAATATATAAATAATAAATATAATATCATATATTAAAGAATATCAAGATTAAAGAACAGATTAAAGAACAGATTAAAAATTAAAAATAAATTAGAAAATATTTTTAGATTAAAGAATATTTTTAGGGTACTTTTAATTTTTAAGGTATGTAATGAAATGTAAATTTGTATTTAAAGACTGAGTTTTGGATTTAATTTCAGTCAATCTTTGGGAACTCAATATTAATAAAGTATTATAATAATGAAAAGTAATATAGTTCACCCTAACTTTTATTAATATTTATTATATTAAATTGATAACTATAAGATGAAATAAAAATAAACTTTTGTAAAGAGAATTATCAAAGAGTGAAATTTATTTTTACCTTTTTAAATGTTTTGTATTATTAACTTCATTTGATATTAAGTTTTATTTATGAGAACTAATTTGATATGGCAATTCTTAGGAGGGAATCAAAAGATCTCAATGGGTCCCTTATTTTGAAAATGTGTATAATGCAATTTATTTTTACTGAAAAACAGAATTGCCTTTTTTGAATTAGTTATTTTATAAGTATAATGTTACTCTAATTTTCAAAATTGGAAGTCGTCTAAAGCGGTGGTAAATCACATGATTCAGTGTAATTTTAATTAGAATAATTTTTTATAAAGAAAAATTAATAGAAACTTTAAAATTATAATATAAGCATATTTTTATCTGATTTGCAAATTTACTTAGGGAAAAAAAGTGGATTTTGAATATTGTTTTTGACTTTACATATGAATGAACAAAACTTTACCGATCATATCCAAAAATGGATAACGAAATTGAAAAGTCAAATAAATCAAAAATAGCATTCAAAACTCTACTCTGCATAGCATAGCGAACATCTCTATTTTATCACAATTTTAATGATCATTTGACAATCATTTATTAAGATTATATCACATAATATAAATATCATTATTTATAATTATTGAAAGATTTTACATAATAATATATGCTCAAACTTTATAAACAACTTAATTATAGTTTTGATTTGCTGTATATTAAATTTTATAAAAGCATTTATTTATGAAGTTTCGTGGCATTTTATTTATTAAATTTCATAACATTATTTCATTAAAAACTCTATTAATCATCAACATTACTAATCACGGAGCTCTCAGATATCCTCGGATGCCTCGAACAATTTGACAATCAAGAGTTTCACTTTTTTACCGATGGTTCAATGTATTTGAATTGTATAAACAATGAAGACGTCGTTGTAATGGGAGCAGGCTGGATTTTAAAAAATACAGATATTAGCTTCTCATGCGGAATAAGATTCCACCCCTCATCAACCAGACCTGAATTGCTTGCCATACTGACAGCTTTACTAGTCGCCCCCAGTGAATCATGGGTACACATTCATACGGATAGTCAGGCAGCGATCGATGGTATTAACACAATTAACAATATGGTATCGAGACATGGCCGCAAATTTCTTAAACTTAATAATTATATCATTCTTTTTGCCATTTATGATATTATCACGTCTAAGAGATTGGACATTGAAATACATAAGGTCAAAGGTCATTCAGGTTGCCATTGGAATGATAAGGCTGACGCGATAGTAAAAATAGGTAGAGAAACGGCGGTTGTCAATTTTAATAGATTAGTTGACTTACAATTTATATGTAGTTATAGTTTTCCTTTATTATTTCTGCCAGTTTGGCATAGTATAGAGATAGATAGACGTGTTCGACAATTTTGTAGAATAGTTTCGGAATCATTGGAAGAGGTTACGTGGTCTTTGAATAGTAATTGGAAGGATTATTTTGATAACCAAACACACGATATATCAACAGAATGGAATTGGACCGCATACTGGCACTATCTTAATAACATTAATAAGAGCCGTTGTGATAATTTTGATACTAATAATACTCTAATTAATTTCATAAAGTCTTCAAATAACTTATTACCTACAGTTGACAATCTCAGAAAACGTAATGACATTTATGATGATGTACCGTGTCCAGCTTGCCGTGACCATGAAGAGACTTTGAACCATTTAGTAATATGTACTGGATTGGAACAAGCTTTCCTCACTGCTGAAAAAGAAACGATAGATAAGATTCGGAAATATCTCAAACGTTTCAAATGCAAAAAATCTGTCACGATCAATGAACTCTACATCAGCATATTTGAATATAGAGACCCTGCTTTCCCTGAACTGAAACAAAGAAACAGACAGGAATTACTACGTGGTTTGATTTCACACACAATCGTAAAGA